AAAACTCATCTATATGCAGTATACATCTCCATGCCATATTGACTGTATATGTGCCTTTCACCCTTTCTCACGGCTTGTTGTCTTTTTTTATAATGACTGCAGAACTTGAATAAATCAGTGAACTATAGTTAAAAGTCCTATGCAAGAGATGAGTGGGAATTAAATCTTCAACACTTCTGCATTTTTATGTCGTTTTAAAAGTAGTTGCTGGGATTTTTGGAGAACTCAATAGAATTAATTCCCTAAAAAGCCGAACACTTTGGTTGCTAAATCTCTTAAACAGCTTTGAAAAGCTCAGCCTAAAACCTGATTCCTCACCAGTTTGTGCATGAAGACAAGAGTATTAGTGACATAACTACCACCAGCACTTCGCCAAAACAGACTGTGTTCAATATCTATTTTGTTTTTTTTTTTTCTTTCAAAGGCTTGTCTAAAGAGAAAGTGCTATTTGGGCTGAAAGGGTTGCCTTAAACCTTCCTTAAAACGCATTTGAGAACATTATTTTCTATTTTTACCAGCTCTGTCCCCTACCCTCACCCCACTATTGCGCTGAAGAAGAGCAAATACTGAGAGCGTATGCAGCTGACCTGTTTAGAGTATGTACATCGTAGAGGAACCAGGCGCACAAACGATCAAGCGGATTAACACATAGTAATTCTCCATCAGCTGTGTTCTGCCCAAGGGTGATTAGACTCTATTGTATGCCTTACAATAGTGGGACAACTTTGAAAACAAGATTTTGAGAAGACAAAAAAGCCTCACATTTTCTACATCACCAATGCTGTAGAACTGAAACCTAGGTCGAAACTTAACAAAATACATCCTTTCTGTGTGCTACGTGTTAAAGCAACGTAAGGAAGGTTAGTGGAGAAAGGATGCCTACTTCTCATAGGACATCGATTAAACACGTGCCATGTGTCAAGAGGCTGAAGGATATGACTGCCAGGAATATATGTAGTGTGGCTGTGTGTATGTAACATGATTTTGGTTGTTAGATTGCAATGCTGTCTTTTGACTGAAAAAAAATTTAATATAAAGGAAAAACACAAGAAATAAAAAAAAATATATTTAAAGCCTATTTTATGCGTATTTCTCTGAAATCTGCAAGTAACTGTTTCCAGAGTGCAAAAAGCTTTGTTTTTTTAAATTAAGCTTATGGAAGTCAATGCCATGACTTTCAGAGACAAGTTAGTAAAATTGCCTTTGGAGAAAAGCATGTACAGAAGAGGAAGGTTATACAAGCTGAATCATTTCAGAAGATTTTCCCCCACTAACAAGCCCTAAAATTGGCAGAAGACTGAAAGGGCTAAAGCAGATTCTGGTTCCCAGGAAAAACTAAGTCCCACTTCAGCTGGTTATGCAGGGCTCTAACTTCCAATTTAAGCACCCAACTTGCTCTACAGCATCAGCTGTAACTCCAGACAAACACACAAAGTACTGATACATTTATAATGTCATCCTTAAAACTGAGAGGCACAGAGACGGCTCTAAGATAATCATCTTAGAGGGCTTGGGATCATCTTAGAAGGGCTTGGAGCAGCTGACAGAAGAGCGAGCTAGGATTGTTCAGCCTGGAAAAGGGCAGGCTCAGGGGGATCTCATGCATGTGCATAAATCCCTGATGGGAGGGGGGGAAGTAAAGAAGATGGAGCCAGACTCTTGTCAGCCTGATGACAGGATGAAAGGCAATAGACACAAACTGAAATGCAAGAAATGCCAGATAAACATAGGAAAAAGCTTTTTTCTGTGAGGGTGGGCGAACATGAGAGCAGGTTGCCCACAGAGGTCATGGAGTCTCCATCCCTGGAGATATTCAAAACCTTGACTGGACATGGCCTTGGGCAATCTACTCTAGGTGCCCCTGTGTGAGTATGGGGTTGGATGAGAAGCCTCCAACGGTGCCACCCAGCCTCAGTGATTCTGTGACTCTGTGCCAACTACTCCAGCAGAATGAAGCAAACGGATGCTTTAGGGATGCCCACTGACATGGCGTCTAAGATTCCCCAGCTGTTGTGAGGGGCTCTTCAAGGGACTGTTAGATTAGATGTCAAGAATGAAAAAACAGATAAAAGAGAACTTTGACAAACCTTCTCATGGGAAAATCAGACAGCAGACAATTGGCACTGGGAGACAAATCACAGAATAATTCAGGTTGGAAGGGACTTCAGGAGGTCTTTAGTCCAACTTCCTGCTCAAAACAGGGTGAACAACAAATTCTAGGTGTGCAGGGCTTTGTCAATTTAAGTCCTGATAGTCGCTAAAGAAAGAGATCCCACAACCTCTACTCCAATACCCAACTATTTCTAGTTTTTTTTTTTTTTAATATCCAGTCAGAACCTCCCCTCTTTCAATTTATGCTGGTTATCTCTCATCCTTCCTCCATGCACTTCTGTAAAGAGCCAAGCTCTGTCTTCTCTGTGGTTGCCTTTTAGGTACTGGAAGGCTGCTAGTAAGGTCTCCTAAAGCCTTTTCTTCTCCAGGCTGACCAAGCCCCATTCCCAAAACCTTTCCTCTTCAGCTGAATGTTCCCAGCCTTGGCCATCTTGGGGGCTCTCCACTGAGCCCAGTCTGGACTCCAGACTATTAACATTTCTTGCATGGGGCAGGGGCACAAATCAGGCCACAATATTCCAGATGTGGTCTTAACAGGTGCCAAAAAAAGGGGAATGATCACTTCCCTTGATGCACTGGCTAACTTTCGTTAACCCAGCACCCTAGCCTTCCTAGCTGCTAAGGCACACCATTAATTTTGGTTTAGGCTGCTCTCTACCCCAACCCCAGGGCCTTTGCCACAGAGCTGCTCCCCAGCCAGTCATTGTCAAGTGTGTACCAGGGGTCCAGGTCCCTCTGTACAAGGGGTTCTTCCTTTCCAGGTGCAGGACTTCGCATTTGTCCTTGTTTAATTTCATGAGGTTCTGCTAGCCCATCCTTTAACCTGTCTATGCCCCTATAAAGTGACCCTGCCCTGGAGCACATTGACTGCTCCCCCCCCAGTTTGGTGTCTTCCACAAGACACCTGATAAGAGCACATCTCATCTCTTCCTTTAGGTCATTGATACAAATTCCAAAGTCATTAAAAGAAATCTTTTCATCTTAAGGCCAGAACTGGCCAGACAGGACTACAGTATGAAGCAGCTACTCTAAAGCAAGATGTAACTTTCTCTTTAGGTAGCATGAATGCAAAAAACTTAGATTTCGTATATTCATTTCCCTAGCCATTGAACACCTGTGAACATAAGCCTTCACTTTGTGAACTTTGTCCAGTTCCTCGTTTATAAAAACTTCACGACTGGCTTGACTGGAAATACCTGCAGCGAGGCCAAGCACAGGGCAACATGGAGCCAGGTTACGCTTGAACCTCATACCTTAAATTTCAGGCAGATCCAGTGGATAGGACAAGGAAGAGCAGCACTGCGACACAGCCTCTCAACACCAATGAACTCAGCTAGAGTTCTGCTACACTTAGCATAACCTTGTCCTGTCAATTCAGCACAGCTTAACACATTAAAAAAAAAAAAAAAAAAAAAAGCAATTTTGTAAAACTGGCTCACTAAAGATGGAGATGGGGAGGCGTGTTTAAGAAAGGCAGTGGGGAGGCTGGCAGTAGTAAAAACGGCCCTTTTCAGAAATGCAGACCGTTTCCTAACTAACTGTATTTATGCGTGCATCTGTCTATGCATGCATGCATACCTGTATCTCCACACTATAGGAGAAGGCACTTTTTGTGGAAACCAACTTCATGCTAACTCCCACGAAGTATGAGAACTGTGACTATCTAGGGGAGGATAGGGGTTGCTGGGTTCAGGGCTAGGAAGAAAGTAGCACCCAAACTGGATGCTGGAACTGGAGAAGTTAGCCTCCCTCAATATCTGCATAAGCAGATAATTTCTGTCCTTGTAAGAGGTATCGCCTGACAATTTATACTCAGCTAGCCTTCATACATACATACATATGTAAATATATATATATGCGTATGCAAAATATATATTTGTTTATTCTTTTAAAAAAGTGTATATATTTGTACACAAAGCAAAAAGCAATCTAGGAAGATTTACTTCTCAATTTCTTACCCTAAGAGCTTCCTGGAACTAGAAGGTTGACCTACTTTCTGCAGCAGTACATACAAACAAGTCACCACTGATGGCAGTATAGTTATTCAAATAAATACACTTCAGGCTACCACATCTCAGAAAGTCTTCAAGTCATTTAATACAGCATTTTTCTGTGCCATGTTCTCCTGCTAAGAGCAGGGTTCCAGTTTATAGGGGCACAGACAGGCATTTTTCTATTTTATTTGCTGTGAGAGCTGTGTTCTAGGTATCCTCAATACATATTCATGGCACATATTCAGGGGCCACCCTCCAGCCTTCAGGGTATTTTTCTTGCTTTACAAGAACAGCTGCATTAGTCAATTCATTTGTGGTTAAACAAATTCCTTTCCTAAAGCTCCATATAAGGAGCTTGTAGGCCTACAGCTCTAAATAATCCATTCAATCTTCCGGTTGGGAATGATGCTAGTGTTGCTGCTGCTGCTAATAATAATAATAATAATGCAACCCAAATTATAGGACAATAACATTTATTTAGAGCATTAGGGATTCCACATTATACAAACCCTTAAATTTATTTTTGTTTCACTGGTCCATTTCTACAACAAATACATCCAATCTACTATATAATAAAATTATTTACATTTCCAAACAAGATTGGGTTTGTTTATAACCCTCTTACTGCTATTCACATACAGTACTTAAACAACAGCACAATACATTAATACCTAAAAATGACAACCCTGTATTCTAATTTGTTTATGAAAAGTGGAAACAAATTTACAATTGTCTTCCCCTTCCCTTCCATTTCTTGAAAACACATTAACCTAATGTGCTAACACTGGACTTCACTTCGTAAATCCAGAGGGTTTTTAAAGAACCCAGTTTTTATATCTATCTTTTTTTTTTTTTTTTTTTAGAAAAAAATCATTTATTGGGAACAGTATAATATTAAAATGACTTACTGTACAGAATTTTATTTAAAAAAGAAAAATCACAGCTCAAAATTGCTATTGGTAAATTCACACTCATTTACAAGTTTCATGTTTCCATGCAGTAATTTACTTGGATTTTCTTCTTTTTGACTGCATTGCACTGGCACTCGTTTCTGAAATTAAGAGAAGAAAAAAAAGCATGGATACTAAGTTGGTAAGCCATTCATGAGAGGTGCACAGACTGCCCTTTTATTTTTCTAAAATCACACCAGAGTGAAAACTTAAGACCATGAGTTCCACAGAACAGGGATTGACTTTGCACAACACTTAACAAAAATGGACCCTTCATCCTGATTACAGCCATTAGCAGCAGTACAACAATGCAAAAAATCCCACTAACTTCTGTTACAAACACATGGACAGAATTTCAGTGTCATGAGGTTAACATTTATGAAGTCCTAATATCATGGCCTTGGAAACAGAAGTCATGCATCTTCACCACACTTTAACTTTACTTCCCCATATGCCACACCTCGCTCAGCTGTAACGCAAAAATAAGCCTCCATGAAACATTAAGTACAGCTTTGGACACAAACTACATACATTAGATCCAAGCACAGTACTTGGAGATGTTATAGGAAATCTTAGAAAGGTATTTTGGAGCCTGCCACACAAGTTAAGAGTCTATTTGTTTGAGTCCTTGGAAAGTCAGGTCATTGGAAAACAAGTCTCCTAAGTGTACATTACGATTAACAGAAAAACAGCTTATGCAGGAAGATACATAATATTGTAGCACTTCAGCAGAACAACCAGAAGTACTTACAGAAGCTACAGTGAAACCAGATGACATTTTCAGTGCACTTACCAAGGCACTAAGTTTCCATTTTAGAACAAAAAGAAAGAGAATTGAATAAGGACTAAGCATATTTGCATCTTTAGATTTTTAAAAAACATAATTTTAAATGTTGGCAATGCATCTTTGGCTCTTTACAATATTTTCTGAAAGCTATCAGTTATGTGTATTTTAGAATCAAAAGGGAACAATTTTGCAAGAAAGACTTTTAAAACTAGAAAAACAATGGTATACAACTCTATGCCTGTTAAATGTTATATTAAAAATGTTTCAAAACTTAACAAATCCAAAGCTACAGTAAGTGCTGGAACAGCCCTTGCTGGAAAGGTACTCAAAGAAGTGAAAATACCAATACAGTACCAGTTTTCAGAAGTAAGACAACTTAACAGGTATGACTTAACAGTCAGAGGAGCTCACCTTTCAAGCAATAATGCTACTTTTAAATACTTTGGTCACCAGCAATACTAGCTGCAGTATTACCTGCTGCTGCTAAAATCTTTGCTTGATAGAATAAATGGGCAGATATTCAGCATCATTCAGTAGCTGTTCCAGTCACTCAATTCTGAAGCCACCACTACCTTGTGAACACTACCAGCATTCTCACATCCGCTTCTACCCCAAACCTGCAAACTGAAGGGTTCGATGTGTGTAATGATTAGGGCTGACTTTCCTTTCATCCTCTTCCTTGTAATTATCCTTCTGCTTTTTCCTTCCTGATACTTAGGAAGGGCAATATACACACTAACTGGTCAAAATGTACCATTTTCTCTCCCTGCTCTATTTAAGTTCTTCAGAAGTGCCAGTTCTTATATGGACCTTAGTCAGTCTATATTTCAGAAAGTATTTTCTCCCAACCCTCTACTCCCTTTAACATCGACTAGTAAGTTTCTAAAGACATAGATAATGTATCTGTATATGCAACCATAGATATCTAGGTGAAGGCCAGGAGCATACAAAACAAATATGCTTTCTTAGCTATCATAACTAATAAAAAAGTAGAACAGAGTAGGCACAAGTGGCAAACATCTTCACCCTTCATCAGCTATGTAACTAGTCATTCAAACTGTGCTCTTGCACAAGAGAGTCTTGTTTTGCTCATTTTGTCTATGACTGAAGTAGACAGTTGTTAACACGGAGATAAGATAATCAAAACCTAGGGTACTACATGGTATGCTGGACCTACGTTTTCAAACAAGACTCTTGGATACTGTGGCAATTTCAGACACATGTTTTAAAAACAATGATTTTTACTTACAGATCTAAATGAATAATACAGTCAGTACAAAAAAATATCTAAATTAGTTCTGGTATTATTTAATGTATTTTAATGTTCCCACATTTTCAGGTTTTGACATGCCACTGGTTGTCATCTTTAGGTTTACTCATTACAATACGTGGGGCCAGTCACACTTTTCAGACCCGTTGTTTCAGGTTGCCTCAAAGAATATCAAGCTATTACTGAATCAAGTTTACATTTCATTCAAATTTTCAAACTTTTCTTCACAATCATGAAAGATAATTTGTTTTTACAATACAGCCTTAGAGTCTTTTGCACAATCCTGCCACAAGAAGCAAATTTAATTAAACCCCCCAGCCACTAAACTGCAGAACACATAGGTCCCTTCGTGTAATCTTTGAGAGTTATTACACAATTCTGTGAGGCTGCAAATCTTCTCTGAAGCTCTTAAAATGCAAATATTCTTACCACCAAACTTTAGCATCTTCAGTATTGAAAATGGTTGCTGAATTCAACTCAACTTCCTTTTATAATAATTTTAAATTAATACCTTTGTTCTGTATGTTATCTTTAAAATATTGGTTGAATGTTTCCTCTTGATGATCTCTCTACCCTCTCGCACAATTTTCGTCCATCAGAACTTTTCTGATCCTTAAACATAAGGAGCTGACACAGTTAGCTTCAGAAATGCAAAACGGCACTGTAGACCATGCATTCTGGTAATGAACGTGTATATCACACAAATGCTGCATACTTTGTTAAAGGTTGAAACCCGTATAGAAATAAGGCACGTCAGCAACTGCTAATGACATGGGTTAATAACTGTAACTTTAGGATTCCATATGTTCGTGGAAAGAACAGTTGAGGATCTGTGCATTAGCACATAGCACTCCTCTATGCTCCCAGATTGTCAACCAGACAGCATGCTAGGCATGCCAGGACAGAGGCAATAAATTGGCTTTGCAAAAGCTGACCATGCACTAGGGAAGACTTAAGCATTTGTCTCATGTCTTTCAGATTTCAGGAAAAAAAAAAAAGTCACTTTTTGCTTGAGTACAGACCTTTTAATGTCAACAAATTTACGCCAAGAGAATTCTACTTCAGCTAGGTAAGATTTCTGAATGCTAAGTTGATTAGTACTGCAGAAAAATTCCACAAATTTAACAATGGAAAAATTCATACAACAAAATTTACTGCCAATACAGATTTATGCAAATGTTTTAACACCAACCTGTGTCTAAATCATTGAAACTAGAGTTAAAAGCACACAATATTTACAAGCTGTAAACCATAGTTACGACCCAGTTATTGAAAGGGTTATTATTTTGGGAAGTACTTCACTTTCTGCCCTCTCCACAGTAATGACGGCTGTGCATTTTACCTTTTGCAGTGCTGGATGCAGAAGCTGGTCTGGAGGACCTCTTGCGCTGTCCATTCTCTACAGTTTCTTGTGAAGCAGCAGAATCCTCTGTTCTTGAATTTCTTCTACTTGGAGTTTTAGACTTTTCACAATTCTCTTTTGTCTCATTACTAATAAAGTGGGACAAAATATTTCTGATGAAGTGTAAGAAGAATTATGTTTTTCTATGCAACTCAGATAAGCTGGAGGATGGACCGACACAGGTACCAGTTCCGGACTACTAGCACTGAAGATATGAAATGCTAGAGATACTGGAAGTTTTATCAGATGAAGAATGACCTGAGTAAGCCAGAGTATAGTCCATTTCTATTAAAAATTATCAGAGGATACAGAATTGAGAAGTCCTCAAAGAGAATATTTTCAACATTAGAAGACCAAGAAATTAGATGCATTATAAATTGTCAGCTCTGTTTTCCACAGGTGCCACCATTACTGAAGTCTAGGAAAAGCAAACAAGTTACATTAGAAACTGCTATGATATGGGAATACAGAGTTGAAATTGCAGATGAATATAAGGAAGAATTATGAACTCTTAAGTGAGTATGTCATCTCTGTTTTTACTGAAAAGACTTCATTGAGCCGAGTGATTTCTTTGCGTATTAAAAAGCTTAAGATTTGTTTAAAATTGTCTTTAAAGTATACTTCTATTATAAAAAAATAATTTTAGGTAGTGTAGAAATCCATGCTTTTTATCATTGAGACAATAAATGAAGTGCTACATTTATAATAAATTCTTCTTTTATTTTATTACTATCAACGCTGTAAACTCACCCTGAGATTTGGGGTTTTTCCCCCTTAACGCATTAACACCATACGATTTCTGATGACTAAACAGTTTCTGAAGATTAAGCTAACCTTATCTCCCGTGAGTTCAAAGGTAACTAATTAACCAAATAAATAATTCTGCTGATAATGTAAAAAGGAGAAAGAAAACTCATCTCATGCCCTTTGTGTGACACTTGAAATCTTGTGTTGCAAGATTTCAAGAAAGACCGTCTTAATCAGAGAATCAATTGAAAACACAAAACAGACCGGTGCACTACAGAGGTTCTATTACAAGGTCAAGTTTTCAGAAGAAATCCTACTTTAAGAGCAAAGAAACTACTATAAATGCTTGTAGTTTTAAATAATAGCTATCTGAAATAAAACAGTTTGTCAATATAAGGACAGACAGTCAAACACTCTCAAGCAAGGAAGCGCAGAGAAAACGAACATACGGAAGCACTCGGATTGTGTCAGACACAAAATAAAAACTGAAATCAATCTCCCCGCAAGTCCGTATTATAGGCAATCCACAAACTGAATCCCTCAAACTGGTTACAAATTGTTTTTCCAGTAAATAACCTGAGAAACAGAAACAATAGCCACCTACTTCAGAGGAAGCCTAGAGACCTATGTAAGAAAATGAATATTATCAGCTGAAGTTCATTTATAAAAGTACTTTTAAAAGAGTCTAAATGATTAATCCATAAGTTTGGATTGTTTCACAGGAACCAATACAACAATTCTTTTGTAGAAGCAATTCAAGCTGGCTTAAGTAAAAACAGTACTTTGCACATGGCAATGTACCTCTAAGGTTTGTACTGTATGTACATTTAACTCTGGAAGCTCAAAGCTTTCTTAAATATCAGACATCACTAGATTTATAATTTGCCTGAAAACTTTCCTTCTTTTCCTGTGTTGCTCAGAAAGACATCAGTCCAGACAAATCAAAACTAAACACACTTGGGATAACTGGATCTGCTGAATGAGTTTGGAAAACAGTTATGCAAGGTAACTTAATTTGGAGACTCTTCTTATCTGCCAAGTGGCTCACCTTAAGCTTTTTAGAAAAAATATCTACCCTAAAAAAAAAAAAAAAAGTAATGTGAAAGTTCAGCTTATCTTTGATAAAATTAATAGAGAAAAAAAGTTCATGTCAAACTCCGTCAAACAGATACAACTGCATGAAGATCCCAGTCGACAGAGAGCTAAATATATCTAAATATTCAATTCAGAGTCATTCCTGATCTGAGAAAGTAAACTGCATTAATTCCTTTAAAAAAGAAAATGCTTATTTCCTGATGATGTAATTTGCTCAATCGCTTCATTTGTCCTGGCTCATGGAATTATTCTACTCTGATTAGGACAGCACCAAAAACACAGCCAGTTGTGTTAGCACAACCATCAAAGACCTTAAATAGGTCTGCCATTATAGTTGCCTAGAGTAAGTTTAAGAGCTTGACTGTTTTAGGATATAACAGAAATAGATTTTGCAAGTTGTATTTTCTCCCGGACAGAACACAGCCACTTGATATTTGATCTTTACATTACTGAATGCCTTAATCAGGACAAGATGAAGTTTCTAGAAGGCTTTCCTATCAGGTTTTAGAACAGAGTAAACAAGCAAACTTTCTCCAAACAAGTCCGGAGAAAACAGCAAAGTAAGCCAGGTAACACTGCAAGAACAACCATCTTTCGGGAGATCAACTTTCAGAAAGCAAAAATTCACAAGATGGCTAATCTGTAGGATTTGGGGGGTGGGGGGGGTATTCTTTGGTTTGATTTCAAAAAATACCAAATGCTGGTACCATCAAGACTCTTCCAGGATGCGTAACACTCGGGCCTAAAGGGATACGAGGAAATACTGGCCAAAGTGTGAAGACAGATTAAGGAAAAAAGTTACCTTAAACTCTGTATTTCAGCAATGTTTTGAAACATTCAAGTAACCCAACTCCTTGACAGGAAAGAAAGAAAACAAAAAGAAGGAGTAAAAGGATTTTTTTGCAAATTGCGCAAATGATATAAAGCAAAAAGGACTTCCTCCCATGAAAGCTATATCTGTTCTGAATCTATATAAACTATCTCCTTACCTTTGACCAGCAACTACTGGAGCATTTGTTTCAAGTTCTACAAGAGAAAAAGATAATTTATAAGTCTGCTGTAGAAGTACATATCTGCTTACAAGGCATGGCTATCTCACATAATTCTCGTTATACATTAGGTCTGAAGAATAAACTTTCCATCTATTATTACTCTCAAGGCAAGTCAACCTAACTTATCAAAGGACGTATCACATTCAACCTAGTGTTCTTGCTGATTATGGCCTGCACCAGCTGAGACAGAAAAGTGTTAAAAGAAACCCTACAGAAGAGAAAACTGTAGAGGAATTTGCTGATAAGGGCTATTGCCCTCTCGCTTTCTTAATCTCTATTTCAGTCAGTTTATTCCTTCCAAAATTCCAGGTTTTATTAGTTTTTAAAACTTAAAAATACTAGTCTGGATATACTGCCTCACGTAAAATTTTGTTTAGATGTTTAATCCAACTATCTCCCAGAGCAATACCTTCTAATGAATTTTGAATGAAGGTGGGGAGATGAGGCCACTTGTTTGAAGCCCAGTTATACTTTGGCTGAATTGAAAAATTTCTCAAGAGATTATATGAAACGAGATATGCAATCTACCGTCTTTCTTTCTCTTTCACTCCCTCCCTCTCCTCCAGCCTCATTTTTGCATATACATATCAGGTTTCTTTTTGAATCTTTGCCATAGTAAACAACTTTCTTTTCTATCATATCGGATTTCTAATCTGTATTACTATCAGTTTTTCAGTTCTCACCATATCTACTAGATCCTCTGTGAGATGGAGCACCTACATGTAAACACTGTATCTCCTTTGAAAAACTGCCACTGATTTAGGGATTATTGTGATATCTGTCGGCTTGTAAAATCTTCTGTACTGTAATCTATCTCACTCTTAAATATCCTACAATATTTGGACAGCGATGCAAAAAACTGTGGCTTTGTCTTTAACAGCAGTTTAGTCTCTACAATTTTTCTATAATGTGCACCATGAACAAAGTTGTAAAAAGAGTAAGAAGTCCCCTTACGGACTAGTCCCCTTATTGTAGCCAATTCCTTAGATTTGTGTTCTTGGAACATTAGACTCTTCAGTGCAAGTATATGTATTGTTGTCTGGACGAAACAGGCCTCACTTGCAGTAACAAAAGAAAAAAGACTAAGTAAGCTAAAGTAAGAGTTACTCTTCTTCCTCCCCAAAATTTGAACAACAGGGAGAATATCCAACGGCCAAAAAAAAAATCCTCCTCCCACCCACCCTCCCTGCAACTTCCTAATTGTGCACTGGCACAGTGAGATGTAGGCAACTTTGACAGGATGCATGAATGTCTTTGTTTAAATGGACATTTTACAAAAGTAATCTAATAATTTTTCTTTATTAAAGCTCTGCTTCTAATCACACTACAGGCAAATGGATGCAAGTGAGTCTTTTTACGTGCATCTCCACGTCTATCCACTTTCCTTGCTGATCTCGGAAATTGTTTTTTTAAAACATTTGATTGCTTAAATGATAACAGGCAGCAGTAACAAAAAGTCATCTGCTACAGTTCCGCTCTGAACAGGAAAAAAAAAAATTGGACTGGATTCTAAAAAACTTATGTTCCCAGAATGACTTTTGAAAATCTTTTCAGAACTGTTTCATGTAAAAGAAAAACTCTTATTTGCTGCAAACAAAACCTCCAAACTCAAACACACCATATCAAAAAAAGGTGGCCAATTTCCTTTATGAACTCAGTCCTTCAAGCTTGTGACTGAATATCCAAAAAACTGCCTTGGTGACTTTTTCATTTATATTACTTGTTCCTATACTGAATCTCCCACAAGGCTTAGGAAACTTTAAGCACAATGTTCCTAACAACAACAATAATATACCCTCCCCCCCCCCCAAAGATTAAAAAAAAAAAAAACAACCCACAAACTACCAAGCATTTTAATGATCATTAAAAGCATTTGATTTTCTTTAAGCAATGCACTGTCGAGTAAAAAAATGACGACTTTATTTTCACCTATGTTCTGCTTTTCCAAAGTAAAATTTACCTGTTCTTTGAACAGTACTTTCTGATGTTGTAACTGAACTTTTTTTCTGGGCTAAGTGTTGAGAGGATGCTAGAACAGAAGTGGAGGAAAAAGCATTATTTTCAAAGGAAGTCACAAAAATTTTTTGTTGAGTGATGGAGCTGCTTTTACAAAATGGTGTATCTTACTACATTTTTACATTTACATTTTTAACCCACCCTCTACTCTCCCCCTGCTAACCTCCCCAAGCAAGTTTTAAAAAACCCTTTGGCATCTCCACCCCAAGCATGTTTTCCCAATCAGGAATAAATGATGAAATTTTAAATACCATAAAACAGATTTTTTTTTAAGGTAACAACTTATCATTAGACCTAGAAATCAAAGACCTAGAAACTAAGGAGTTTAGCCTCTCTTTCAGCTTAACGCTCATTTCAACAGAAGCTTTGAGGAAAAATAGCATCTTTGTTAATGAATCAATACTCTCACTCTTTCAATTAAACTGAAAGAGAGCAAAATATGTTCCAGAGGCTTCCGTGAAGTCCTTTGGCAATAAGATGACAAGACTTAACATTTCTTAGATTGTGAAGTTAAAAATAAGATGGAAAAAACAGCTCTCGTTAGGCACGTGTCTTCCAGTCTTCCTTTACGTGTGGTAACGAACTTACGAAGAACACAAACAACGAAGATGAGAAGTTGTATGCTCTTACGTAGATAAAGAATATCCACTTTTAAAAGCATGGCTACATTTCAAATGCTTACTTTACTCCTTCACTAGCTGATTGCATCTCCAGAACCCAGAAAGAAAGCACAACAAACTGTTAGCTTGCAATCAGAATTTTCCAACATGGAAACGCAGCTTGCTTCAGACTTGAGAATAAACGATTCCATACTCTTGATGCTGAAGCTAGATACCTAACCTCAGCTAACACATTCAGGAGTCATACTTGTCGACATAACTCACTTGACAATGCTGTACTCCATGCATATTAAAAAGAAAAAAAGAAGAAAAAGGTTTTTGTAATGCATATCGTTCCTATTTTCTAACTTTGTCTTACACACTAAGTCTAGCAGCAGCAAGAGCTCTTGCAAAGTATTATCACTGCTTGCTGTTAAAGTCTTACAGTCTTACGTCAGATTGCTTCTGTCAACAGCTTTTTCTTCCAACAAAATAGAATTCCTTCTGTGAAGCTCAGGTAAACATTTCCATTTTCTAATGCCATACTGTTAAGATATACGTCTAACAGCCACAGCGAAATTCACATTCAAGCTGAAATTCAATTCTGCTGACTTCTGTGGACTATGATTTTATTTTGTATGTCTAAATTCATGATATAAAGCACAATGGATATTCAGATAAATTACTTCAAGATTCATCGTTTATTTCCATACCGTTTTCAAGAGGTTACAAACAGCATAAAGAAGTGCCAGAGATGTCATAAATAAAGTCTGTCCAGATTTTTCAATTAAAACAGTAAAGGAGAAAAGAAGTTATTTTATGTAATTGGATGCAATTTACTCATAGTTGAATTTATAGGTGTTTCTTTGAAATGAGCATTTTAATTTTTCCCTAGACATAAGGTTTTTGGTTTTTTCTCATGCTGCATACTGGCGATACTTCATCTGTTTCCCTAGAGGGTTAACGTTATTGGAAGAGGGAACTAGTGTTATAACTAACTCACAACATCATAATTAAGTCAATATATTGAAATAAGTTACAAAAAATAATAAAAACACCCACATTCACTGGCAAGAACAAAGTATAAACAGCCATCTGCCAGTTTAAAAGAAGCCTTAAGTATTACTTTCATCATTGTTGATATATCCAATTTTCCTCCCTAACAGTTCTGTGAAAGTCACTTCTATGTTATTGCATCATATGTTCACACCAAATATTGCAAATGTAAGCAGTAAATGAAAACCGAGATAAAACAGAAATGTGAATTTTAGTGAAATACAAGCCCTTATAGTACTCAGATATTAGAAACAAAAAAGTAGATGTTAGTCTCGGCTAAACTGTCTATACTCTATTACGCTCATGGAAAAACGCACATCAAAAGTTTAAGAAAGCAATCTCATTTCTTCCATATAAGAAGGGTAGCAGTGAACATACCTGTATTTTGGAGCAGTTCCTGATGTGCTCCTGTTTTTTCCTCCACCAAACCAATCCCCATTTGTTCAGCTGGTAAACTGCCATGGTTACTACCATTAGTACTTGGTGTTGCAGGCGCAAGTTCTGGGATTCCTGGAGTGGTTACAACCGACAGTACGTTTGTAGGGGGAGTGTTTGTTGGTAAGCTTGGAGATACAGAAGCAGAAACAGCAGCAGCGCTAACACTCAGATTGCCAGGCCCAGAAGTGCTCTGTTTTATAAGACTGGGTGCTGGAGGTGTCACAGTCTTATTGTCCAATTCTGCTGGTGATTGCTCTGTTCCCAAATTATTTGGGACTGACATTTCTAGTCCCTGACCTTCTGCTTCTCCATCCAAAGCATATTGTTCTTCTCCTTTCTCAAGGGAGCCAGTGACTTTCTTGCATGCTTTAGTCAGCAAAAGTTGGCCAATCTTGTCTACTTTTCCCTTTCCCTTACTTGATGAAACAGGACTTCGTCTATTCCCAGATCCTGGACTACTTGTAAGGAGAGGTGAAACACCAGGTCCAGACGGCGTTGCAGTAACAGAACACTGGTCAGTTGTCCCACCGCTTTGAGAAGAAGCCTCATCTGGGCCAAAGTCTTTGACTTGTTGAGCAGGAAGATGTGGAGGAACATTTGAAGAAGTTGTAGCAGGAGAAGGCAGCTGAATAGGAGGCACCATTGGATTAAGAACCAGAGGCCTGCTTGCTGGAACATTAGAAACAGGGCTGCTAGATGATGTGCTAGGAGGAGCAGGCCCAGATGAGAATTTTATGTTCTGTGGTATATGCAAAGGACCAACAACTGCCACCGACTGAGGCATTAGACTAGAGTTAGAAGTTATTGGGGCTGCTGGAATCGTACTTGGTTGAGAGCCTTTCATAACCTGAATTATTGATGATGAGTTTATAAAAACGGGTGTAATAAACTGTGGCCGGGCATTAGACTGAACTGCTGACTGCCCCTCAGAAACCATAACTTTGTTCCCTACATTAGGCATTGTGACAACAGTAGATACTAATGTAGGTTGCAAGTGAGATGGCAGTTGTGCTGATGTATTAGCAGAAGAAGTAATGGGGTTTGAAGTTACAAAAACTGTTATCTGGTTGGGTGGTAAAGGAGCTGAAATTGAAGAAGAGCTGACAGGCCTTGGTATTACTGGAGGAACATTCTGTGTAACACTTGAGTTTATTTCTCCCAGTTCCTGGTGTCCTGGATTTGAACAGGACTCGTTATTTTGAGGCAAACTAAGTGAATTAGAAGGCTCTTTGTTAGAGGATGAATCTTGTAGCGGAGGAATGACAGCTATCTTCTTTAGTTCCTCCCCAGCAGGGACTATTGGTGCCATTTCAAGACTAGTCAGCCCAGGCGGCTTAATGGTTACATTAGGAGCTCCAGAATTATCAAGAAGTTGACTTAAAGAAGTTGGTGCCTCCCTCATAGCTGGAGATACCATGGGTTTGCTTTCCTCCAAGCCAGGAAGCTTACTAGTGTCTAAGGACTGTCCATCTTTTTTCAACTGTTCTTCTGGAACCAACATTTTTACTTCTGGGGTAGGGACGCCTTTCAGTTCAATATTGGGCGGGTCTTTGTTACCTGGGACCCCTTGTGCATTTTGACACTCATTATCTTGAGGAACACTAAGGCTCTCTTTACCATCCTCAGGAATGCCAGTCAGAACAGGAACAGAAATTGCAGGATTCTGATTTAGCATGCTATTATTTTGAAAACTTGTAGTCACAGGTGTTGGCAAAGAAGAGGGGCCAACCATCATATTTCTTTGTAATTCCATGCTCTGTAAGAGAGGTGGATTCTGCTGAGTTGTCAATGCTAACTTCGCTGCTTTTGAATTTTGTCTGCCAGGGCTTGGTGTGGTTTTCCTACTGGATCCAGGACTGGACCTTCGACTATTGCTCGGACTTGCTCTCTTTGTTCCTCCAGTATTGGTTTGCTTTCCTGAATTAATAACCACACCTTCCAATTTGTGTGGCTGTGGAGCAGCAAAACTAGACTGATTGTTAACTGTGAGATTTGACGGGGCTTGTCCAATGGCTTTCAGAGTAGTCGGATTAAGACCTTGCTGATCAAATCCTCTATTGAGATTAGGCCTGGGAGGTAAAGGAATATTAATTTGTGGAGGAAAAAGACCAGCTATAGAAGCATTGAGCCTTTCTGGAGACAAGCTTATTTCTGAAGGCTCTGTGCTAGGTGGACGGTTATTAGGAGTCTGAGGATAGTACGGCCTTGGGCTTGCTCTGTTTGGGGTTTTAGGCCTTGAAGTTTGCGATGGGGTGGCAACATTTGGAAAATGGTGTGCAAGAGCGCCAGGCAGAGAATTAGATTGCTGCTGAGGACTTGCACCTTGGGCTGTTGAAAGCGGGGATGGTCCAGGTTTGGGTCCAGTCATCATTAACTGGTTTTGTGAAACTACTAAATGAGACGTCAAATTATTCTGAGCTCCTGATGCTGGTGGGCCTTCAGCTCCACCTCCTTCGGGAAGGGAGGATACTGATGAAACCTCTCCTAGAGGTGAGCTGGAAGGATTCTGTACATTATCTTGATAAACCATTTTTCTTGCATTACTTCCCAGAGAAGGATTGCCTGGCAAGGAAATCCTCTGTTTATCAGGAGACGGAGGCACTGATCCAGGCCCTTGTAAGTTAACCATTACTGACATGTTACCGCTCTGCTGCATTGGCATTCGTTGAGCATCTGCATTCAGAGGCCCTCTCGGTGGATGAACTCCCTGTGGTACGGGAAGCCTGACTGATTTGGGATCCTGCTGCATCATAAGCATCATCATCATTTGCTGCTGCTGCGTCTGTGGTGGCGCCTGTGCCTGCTGTGGTGGTGGCTGTGGTTGCTGCTGCTGCTGTGGCTGAGGCTGCTGTGTATGTGGCATAAGTTGAGGTGGCATCTGCTGAAGTTGTCTTTGTTCCATCGGCTGAGATGGATAGCCTAAAAAGACAAGAGGATGCATTCAATAAATAAACAAATAAATAAACGGATCAGAAAAAGCAGAATTTCTGTGAGGAACTGCATCAGACAGACAGTATAGCCAGGAACCTGTTTATCTAATGCAAGAGCCACTTCAGTGAAACAGGTTTTACAAACAAGAACAATGATTTTACTTAATTCTTAATAATATTTTCACTTAATGTATGAATGATTTGCAAGACATTTAACTGGGGACCTCTAATTTATCATATCAGCTACTGGCTATTACTCCGGTTTCATGCCACCCGAAGAAAGGCTCTGCAACTGTTTCTGCACATTTGGTTTTTTACTCGTAAATACAGAGTTAACTTTCAGTAATTAATTATCCCTCAAACAAACATAAAATTTTGACAGCCACTGAGAGACGTGCAGTAACAAGCCTGTTACAGATCTGACAGTTTCTAGCGTACAAAGTAGAATCTCCCACACATCACTTAACCAAAAAGTGCAATGAGTATGGTGGTAGGAACCACCCATGTGGCTTAAAACATGAAATATCTTTCCAGACTTTGGATGTAATCCTCCCTACATATGAAGAATAATTAGTAACTTCCATTTCTTGTTTCTAAACAATAAGCTATTGTTTAACACTCATAATTTTTAATGCACCAGGCCATGCTACAGCTAGAAATACAGGAATTTTTGTCAGTTATGTTATCCCTAAATACTTCTACCATATTCAACATGATATCAGTAGGATTATACAAGAGAACGTGGCCACACAAACTCATTTTGAGTTAATCCAAAGAAAACACTTAAAAAATGACACCAACTATTTAACTAGGAGAAAAAAAAAAAGCTTTAGTTTCGAAAGCATAAGAACACACACACAAAGTATTCTTGAAGATCGGTAAAAGCTCTATCATTATTACATTCAAATAATTCACATAAAAACCTTACTACCTGGTGGCCTACTTGCAAAATCTGAAAGTTTAGGGCCCGTATTATCTAAATTCATTCCCTGCTCTCCAGGCATTGATGACTGATCATTCTCTTCCAGGCCAGCTGGTCGTGGTTCTGAAGAACTGGAAGAAAAATAATTGCAATTAAGATACAACACCAACATCAGGGTTTCAATTCTGCTTCCATAATTCAGTACTCAAGCAACTCATTTTTAACACTTTTCACAGACCTCCAAGTAACTCAATGAAAATGCATCACTATCACCGGTATAACATGATAAACATGAACACCTAGCTCAGGTCTGCTGATGGTCACTCCTGTGCTTTAAACACTACTCAAAAGGAAACAAGTTGTCTGTTGACCTATTCATCCTAAACATATATGTTTTTCTTTGCTTCTACCTTGAACCCGAGTTTTATAACTACAATGCATATTCTAAAGACTATGTGTAAGACATAATTTTAAAAAATAAATAGGCATCCCTCTAATACCAATGTGACATCTATGAAGATAATATGATTTGGAGATGCATAGCATTTTATTTTAATGGTAGTCCCATGTCTTCGAGCAGAGTACCCAGAGGTAACCAACTCAAGAGTATATCAGTTCTCTATTAATGTCACAGCAAGGAATGCGTTGAGACATCAGATACTGAAGGTTATCTGCCAGAACACACAGCTTAGTAGGCTACTGAGGCTCTGTAACTGATGCTTTAGGAAATTCTGTAGGACAACTTAAGATCGCTCAGATTCAATGGCCAGTCCTTCCACTGCATCAGGACTTCTCCAGGCTTCAAAAAACCACATTCTATAGCTGTCAACATATTTGGCCAGAGGATATAGGATAAGGAGGGATGAAGAGTGAAAGACCTCATCAGCTGCATGAATCTATCAATGCTGTAGGGAGATGTAAGTAATAAAAGCTCCAAGTTAAAATTAAAGATATCCAAACAGGTATACTGCCAGAGGGGGAGAGGGGGAGGGGGGGAGAGGGGGTTATCCCAAAATGCCAAAGACAAAAGAAATTCCAGCAAAGCAAGAATTCTGAGTATATAAAGCTGGAGAGATCTTTCTTATTTAATTGTACTTGAGAGTAATAGCCAGCTTCTGGCATCTGTACAGCTGACAGGGAGAAACCCAGGCCTACTCTAGTGTCCTGTTAGCTACCTAAACAACGTTCAAAAAGTGCGTAGCTTGAAAGTATCTGAACTTCTGCTGGTCAAAAAAAAGGCGGGGAAAACAAATGAAGACAGAGGAAAAAAAAGCTAAGAAACAGGGCAAGCACAGAATGATTCTAAGCATTAGTAGCGAGCGGGAAAGTCTTGCCAAGAAAAGTATCTGGTGCTAAACCTTTTGTCTAATCCAGCCCATTGCCGTTTCTATGATGCAGTTTATGATGCCTCCCAGACAAATGGGGAAAAAAATTATGATGCAATTTATGATGCCTCCTAAACAAACGTGATGAAAAATTGGCAAAACCTGGGCTCTTACTTTAATAAGGTCACTCTCCAAGCACAAAACCTAAGTTTCTGGCCTCTGGCAAGCAATGGTTTGTAATAACATGCATGTCCAGTGGCGTGCTCCTCTGTTAATGCAGCCTAGCACTGAGGATACACCACCAATAAAAGCAGCCAAGCATACAGATACCCCAGGATCAATGTATTAGCAGCCAGAAGTGAAAGAAGAAAAAAATTCTGTCAACAGCATCTCCCAGAAGGGCTGTGGCCATTGACATAGGGCACACAGTGACTGCAACATGAACTGGAACAACAACCCAAAATTGTGAATACAATCTAAAATTGGTAATTTTGCCATTTATGATTTTTTTATCATAAGGGGGGAACAAATAAAAACACCACAGTTAAACATTAGATAAAAAGCTGATATAGAGCGTTACTGCACAAGTAGTTTTAACCTAGAAAACAGTATCTCGGTGCAAAACTAATTCTTAGAAAAACCTCTTGCTACACAGGTCTAACAGGGAAAAGTACAAAACCTTGCAAAACAGACCCAAGATTTTTGTTTTATAGCAAATAAAAATAGAAGTTATTGTAGGAACAACTGCTATTGTAATAGCTGGAAAATTTAAAGATACCTTAAATTTTGAATATAGCTGAAATTCACTGAGCTTATTTAACAACCAACAATCTTAAAAAAAATTCTGGATATGAGTAACAACCATAATGAGAAGTTTGTGTATGAGAGGGAGAAACAGCCCATATTTGTCATCTTCTCACATTGTTCTGATTTGAAAAAGAAATCAGCTGCAGATTAGTTACAGTATGGATTATCAGAGTTTCATATGTGAACCCTTTTGTCTAGCAGTTGGTTTCTGAAGCACTACTTCCAGATGTAAAATTCCTTTTCATTTCTTCTAAATGAAGAAATAAGACATGTAAAAATAAAGTTATAGTAAAGATGCAAGCAGACCCAGTCCTACTGACATGGTATAGTGCTCTGTGACAATTTTTGCTTTTGTACAAAGGCACTCATTCTCTCATGGCAAATTAGTTTCATTTGCCATAAGAGCTAGCAGGGGACTGTAATCTCCAGACCTACAGGTAAAAGCTTTCTCAATCTAGTTGACAAGACTAACCTCTAATGCTTCTTTGTCCTGTAATGCTGGCCACTGCCTGCAGATCATCTCTGCATAACATGCTTCACACTGGATGCTGCAAATCTGAACGTCAGCAATAGCAGTGGCTTTACAGAACGCAGTATTATTCCTAGTCTACCAGTATTTGCGACTTCAATGTTTCCCTGTGTGCAGACTATGAAACAAACGTTTGCTTGAGCATGTATTTTGTAGAACTAGCTGATGCATATTTTATGTACAATCATTTCATCTAACACCTCCTTTTTCCCTGTTCTACATCTCATTTCCTACAGTTTTCACAAGTTCGGAAAATAGACACGATGACTTTTAAATAACCTATGTATTAAAAAATTGAATGCTCAGTTGCGCAATAAAGCAAACCCTTATAACTATTTTTAAACTCTGCTGAACAAGCTTTTTCAGTAGTATACTTACCAAATTTACATTCCAATATGGGTTCAGTCTACAAACAATATTACTAATGGTACTTTTGCTGCTACATTATTACAATTCAACAGCAATTTCTAACAAAAAAACAGAAACATTTTTAATGTGCTTATGAAACAATTGCTTTTCCCATCAAGGTTTGCTGTTCTGAATTCTAAAAATCCTGAGCAAGAATTACAGAGAAAGAGCTGAGACTAAAAGCTTTTCATTTACTTCTGATGCAAAAGTAATTGATCCAAATCAATTTTAAAAGAATGAGCAATTTCAGGATTGGGAAGATGCAACACTCGCCTAACACCACCAAGAAAGGAGGCACGCAAGCGAGACAGGAAGATACCATAACTAGATTTACTTTGTCTGCACTACAGTTTCTCTCCTGCTAGAGAACAATCTCAACTTTCCTTGTGAAAAATACTCTAGGAAGATGCCACCCTTTTTAATCCTTCCACAAAGGTACTAGAGTGATTACCATAAAGTTGATTAAGAAACAAAATACTAATCTAGACCAGGTGACAAAATAACATTCTGCAAATCACAATGGTAAGAGAAAGTTCACTGAAAATGGTATAGTAAGTCCCAAACAGTACTTCCTTTGTTAAGTACAAAGGAAATCAGATTAAAAGCATTATTTAAGGGCTAGGCATTCTTTCTAACTGTCATAGCTCAACAGATGGGCTCTAATTTAGATTTGTTTTATTGTGAAAACTCTATAATAAGCAAATAGTCTTCTGAGGTTTTGTAAGCCCAGAGGAGAGCTTTATATATCCATTTGTTGACATTCCTAGGCTACACAGAAGCTGGGAGATCATCAGTAAGACGAAAGAAAACAAAATCCTAATAAGGCTTTTCTTTAATGATTAACAGATTTTCTTCTCAGAAGCGTGCCAACTCTTCCGCTCCCTCTGTATAATTTTGTTGTTCCTGTGGGAAGATAGCTACTTACAGCAGCAGTTGCTATTATTTTATTAGGATCTATTTAGAATTGAAGCGTCTTATTTTTACACATAGCACCCAAAAATATCTTTCTCTGACATAACTGTATTAAAACACCTTTTACTCAGTTTTACTCCTAGAAATACAATATCATTTTTCTTAGATTTCAGGCAAAAAGAACAGACTTTCCACGAAAAGTGCAGATGATTAATACTGACACAAGGATTGCATATTCTACTTTGCTGCAAGTTATCAGTAGTGCCTACCTGTTGCTGTTCGGCAGTGGCTATGCAACATGAACTTTTTTGATACGAAGAAAAATAAAGCATTGCTATAGTTTGAAAGACATCTAGAAAGCTTTGAATATGGTGTGCCACAAATGGGAAAACAGCTGCTTTGACACTCTCTGAAGAATTGTACTTATATATTGAAAGCAGAAAGATACATGCTACCATACACCACAATAATCATGGCGCTACTGGAGAGAGTCCAGCGGAGGGCTACAAAGATGATGAGGGGACCGGAGCATCTCTCCTCTGAAGAAAGACTGCGAGAGCTGGGCCTGTTCAGCCTGGACAAGGCAAGACTGAGAGGCGATCTCATCAACCGTATACAAGTATCTGAAGGGGGAGTGTCAAGAGGATGAGGCCAGCCTCTTCTCCGTGGTGCCCAGCAACAGGACAAGAGGCAGCGGGCACAAACTGAACCACAGGAAGTTCCATCTGAACCTGAGGAAAAACTTCTTGACTGTGAGGGTGACAGAGCATTGGAACAGGTTGCCCAGAGAGGTAGTGGAGTCTCCTTCCCTGGAGATATTCAAGACCCGTCTGGATGTGATCCTGGGCAATATGCTCTAGAGGTCCCTGCTTGAGCAGGGAGGTTGGACTAGGTGATCTCCAGAGGTCCCTTCCAACCTTGGCCATTCTGTGATTCATTCTGTGTGTAATACTAGTTGTACTCTTTAAAACCGGACTGCAACCACGCTATATTACCTTGTGCAAAGTACTATGCCACAAGCGACTCTTGCCAAGTTATTGTTAATTGCCGATTCTCAGAGATCGGTACTATGGAGACCACAAACTAGTGGTGGGACTGTACAAATACTATTGCACACTTCACAGACCCCAAAGTTAAAAGTAAACTTTGGCTGCAAAGGCCAGGCACCTGAAGTTTTTGGAATGCCAAAATGAAGACACCTACACATGCTCATATACCGCCCTTTCATGTAACCAAAGACTAGAAAGACAGACACATCAACAAGTACTACCTTCCCAGCAGAATCCCTGCCCTGCTCCTTGCACACATGGCCCTGTTACAGGAACCAATCGTGGCTGTGTGCTATAGGAAACCCGGGTATGAAGGAGCACTGTCCTAGGCATTTCAGAAGTTGATGACCCAGAATGAGTAAGGTACTGCAAGAAGAGAAGAGATGGTGTCTCAGTTAAGGTTCCCAAGTCATTCCAAAGTTGCAGTCTACCCATGTTTTGGCCACTGAGCTCCTATATGGTTTCAGTCAAATTACGTTAACTTGTTTTTCACAGCTGGTCATTAACTGTGCACTCAACTTCTGAAGATATAGTCTGAAACCACAAGCCCGTTTTGCTGCATCTTTGGGCTGAAAGGCCACACTGTGACCTATACATACAGTTATATAGCAGGTATTTGAAAACCTTTGTTCAAGGCCTCTTAAAAATTAGCATGTTTTCCTGTACTTTCATTATGCTGGCTTTCTTCACCTTTAAGATGCAAGTAACAAAGTTCTCATTTTATACTAGCAGCACGAAGTCAAGCCAATTAAGGATTATTTAAAACTCTAAAGGATCCCTTGCTATAGATGATGCAAGTTCTTTTAGTCCAGAACTTAGAAGTCCATGAGAAAATTAGTTCCATCTTCACAAAGGAATCTCCATATTGTGCAGAAAATGCAGTATTGCTTAGTATTTGAGCACCACCACTCTTTGCACTGAATCAGATATCTGTCTCTGGAAATGGTAGCATACAGTTAAAATTAAAGATTTATAATGATTATTCAAAGGAGTGAAACTGGAGCCACATCAGCAACTTAATCTGCCTCTCCCCCATCCCTTTGTTTAATTATCTAACCTTGAAATTTGGATAATCCTGGGTTATAGTTTTCTGTGCAAAAATGCTCAGGTCTTTTCTAAAGTAAACTGTAACCTTGTCCTCCCCTCCCCCCTGCCCCGAAAATCCATTATGTGAATTCCAATCAACGTCCCTATGGTTCATCAGCAGGGTAAGAATAATTAGATACAGTAAATCTGCCTTTACCATTTTAGCTGGATAAAGGTATAGCAGTAGTAGTCTACGATTCCTATGCTGGTATTAGTAAATTATCAGTAGCAAACAGGTGCACGACAACTGGCCAAGAGAGTGTACGCTGATCAAAGAGGAATAAAGAGATTCAGCAATCTCGTATTTGCATCGAGCAGATGCTTCTGTTCATTTTCTCTCGATATTAACCCATTCGCCTCTTCCCTTGCAGGGATTTTTTTTTTCCCCCTCTAACCTCTCCCAGTTTCACTCTCCCTGGCCAGGTAGGCAGGCCGTGAGCTTGTTATCCCCATGACCAGGGAATACCAGATTTTTCCCTCCCTTCAACTCCTATTTGCAATTTCAACTTTAAAAAAAAAAAAAAAAAAATCAATTCCAGGCAGAAACAATTCAGGATACACATATACCACAGAAAACACTGCTCCAGCTTCCAAATCTGTACTGCATATATTTTATAGAGGCTTATAATTCTTCCGACAGTATTTCCCAACCTTTGGTTGCGGCTGTCAGGCTGCTTAGGAATGGCTACCCTCTTCCAAGCGCTGCAGAGCCATGCTTCCACTGACATTTTGAAACAATTTCTACGCCTCCTTTACCCAGCAAACGTGGCGAACATTCCGACATTGCTGTTTTAAACGTAATTATATAACAGACCTGGAACGTTCACAAGTTTTTCTTCATCCTGACTGAACTTTTCAATGGCAGATTTGCCACCGTGTTATCATTTAACTCTCAAAAAAATTCTGCTAGAATATGAAATATTACAGGTTCCTTCTCCCCACACACTTGCTGAAGAAACATTGATAGATTGCTTGCGGGCTTCCCCCCACCCCTTATGAAAACAATATAGTATTAAACCTACTTTGTTTGTTCTAGCTGTTGATTATTTTTTTTCTTCCTTGGAGGCTTCTTCTTCTTCGGCTTATTGGCATTCTGATTATTCTGTTTGTTGTTCACGCCAAAGTGTCCGGCAGATATATCGCTTTGTAGAAGGTTAACCAAGAGTGGGCTTGTGAGAGTGACATCTTTATTGACAGGAAAACCAGGATTCTGTCCGCAGGAAATTTGATTCCCATTTGGTGTTCCACTAAATGGGGTATTGAAAGGCAGCCCATGTCCAGAGAAATGACTCCCCGAAGCATTGCTGTTTCCTTGGATTGCTTGCATATGGGAAGGTACCATATTTGGTTGCTGCACAGGAACATCAGGTAACATCTGTGTCAAGTTCACATCATTACTTGCTGTAGTAGTAGTATCCCCAAGCTGCTGAGATATGTGGGGGCCAGGTCCAGTAGGTCTTAAAACTTGCCCTTGAATTCCCATAACCTGAGAAGGATTACCATTCACAGGGCCTTGCTGTGCCATCATCTGCCCACTGAATTGCACCATGTTTCCTTGCATGTTTGGGGTTGGTCCTCTCATCAATTGAGCTGGCCCCGTCATAACATTGGACTGGTTTTGGGTACTAAAAGGCTGTTTATTTCCTTGCATCTGAGTGGTCATCATCTGTTCCATCATTGAGTTTTGCTGTAACAAGACCTGGCCTTGAGGTCCCATCATCTGATTGTGTGTAGACATCATCTGTTGTCCCTGCTGGGGAATCATCTGTTTTGGTGGGGTCATCCTTTGAGGCGAAGGACCAAGATTTTGGTTTTGTGGTGTTACCATCATTTGGCCTTGCGGCATCAGTTGAGTTCGAGAAAGTATCATCTGGTTTTGAGGGTTCAGTGATCCCTGAGCCTGAATGTTCACCATCTGCCCTTGAGAGGATACAATTTGCTGATGCATTCCCATAAGTTGAGACTGTGGTCCTTGCTGAGGCTGTCCCTGCATATTGCCCATGTTAACTTGTGGCACCCCACTAGCACCAGTCTGCTGGTTATTCATATTTCCATGAAGTCCCATTAGATTGGTCTGCATCATATTTGGTGGGCCGTGTGGTGCTTGCATCTGATTTTGAGGAGGTCCAGACCCCTGGCCACCTTAAAAAGATTGCAAAATACAAATTAACTGGAGCAGTATAAAAGCTTAAAAAATGCTTGGTGTTCAGTAAGAACCCCAAATTCATTTTCTTTCCTTTTCCAATGAACTGGGACATCTGACACTTTCGCCCCTGTGTGCTGTATGTTTTACGCTACAGGCAAAAATGTTCGCGGTCGAAATGGATGATCAGAATGGCACTTCTGAAAGGAAATATTTTGACCAGCACTCACATGTGCATCCCACTGCAGAAGACATCACAGAAGTCAGTCATAACCTATGAGTTTAAAAATATGCCAGAATATCATCTAACTCAAGAGCATATTTTAGTTCCCAAGTAAAATAAGCTTCAAATATTGAGGATATTTTATAATGGGTTATAAAATAAATCAAAATATATATACACATGCAATATTGATGACATGACATTATCAGGAGGAAGAGCTAATGATAGGATTGTTAAATCGAAACATTTGTGAACTCAAGACTACATTTTTACAAGACTGCTTGGAAGCAGATTTTAAGGCTTAAAGGTACTAAAACAATCTTTTCAAATTAGAGCACAATTATTTTGTCTTTCTACCTCTGACATAAACACTTTTGTTTTCTCTGGGCAAGAAGTTCTTTTTCCATTACACCTATGTTACTCCTAACAATTTCTAAGCAGATACTTCTGGATCCCAGTATCACTGTGCTAAGCAATAAAAGCTGGGTTCTCTGAAAAAACACGATCAGTCTCCTGCTTTTCTTTTCCTCGTTTAGTGACAAACGGACTGTACCTCTGCAGCACTCCCACCCCCAAGTAGCTACAACTGCCTCTTACTGGCAAGAATTTGATGTTTTGGTGTCTGTGTTACACAAAGAGCCATAACCTTCTACAACAAACAAAGAACTGAGGAATAATACATTCAAAACAGACCTGCATGCTGCACATTTTGGCTGGCCTGTAGTTGCGAAGCTCCACTGTTCACTGGTGTTCCTGGCGCTGTGGAAGGCACCTGACTTTGCATAAAGTTCTGATTAGCCTGGCCTGCAGAGAACCCAGGTGGAAGGCGCTTGGGCATTCCTTAACACAAGGGGGGGGGGGGGGGGAAGGAAAACATGTAATAGCATTATAAGAGGAAGAACGCCTTTAAGCCCGTACTGTCACATTAGCAAGGCAGGTTTTAGGTAGAAAAGTGTTTTTTCCCCCCAATACATGAAAACCAGTGAAGACAGAATTTATAGTTCCTGTCTATGCAAAAAGTCTGTATAACAAGTTACTATGACCCAGTTTAAACCATAATTCTGTTTCATAGCCTGAATACAAAACTAATCCCACACAAAAGGAGAGAAGCCTGTGCTTGATTTTTTAGAAACTGGACATTAAAATAAGCTTGCTATTTTCTTGCTTTCTATTGCATCTCTCATGTAATCAGACCCTTAACCTACTCCATGTATCCATATGCAAAAATCTTGCATTTTTGTCACGATGGTGGACTCTTCTCAACAAGGACCCTCAGCATAATGCACTGCATACATGCTTTTTAGTGCTTCGTTGCACTACTACTGCATACACACACAAAAACCTCCTAAACCACAGTGAAATGCAACGTTACTGCTTTCCTTTATCTCTACTCATTCACACAAACAGAAGTGCATTTAACTATACTGCTAATTGTTAAGTTTTCTCTACCCGTGGAATGAACGTAATGATTTGTCTCATTAATTTTTCAGCATGAAAAAATATCACCCAATATACAAACTTAGAAGAGATTTATTCTCAGGGAACCAACTCAACTTGATCATGTGTATTCTTTCAACTGTGGGAATTAGTGAGTTTATTATTCAGAGTTAGATTATGACTACATAATCTCCCAGGTTATGAGAGCACAGTGCTTTGCTACTAATAGAGAGTCCAGAATGGTTGTTGCACATCACAGGTTTGTTCAAGTAACCCTGCTAATCTTATTCCAAGAGCAAGTAATTCTATCAGGCCCGTATAAGGCACAACATCCACACTTTGACATATCAAAACGCCACTGCTGCACTGGGACAAAGAGCCGAAGTTTCACTGTGCTTCTGCCTATCCATGTGAGAAGCAGCATAAACTGCTTTAACAGAACACACTCCTTTTTTTGACCCACCATCAAGCTACATAGGTAGTGCCACAGACCTAGAAGAAACCTTGCCTTCCCTTACTTTTCCGATCCATTATGAAGTGTCACAAGTTGACCTTAGTACTCTCCAGAGTTACAGCTTTCTTGCATGCTTAACTGTATTGCGTCTGTTAATTAAAGCAGTTTTAGGTCTATAATTAAATATTTAAAGACAATCAAATTCATAGGTCAAACATAAGATTCATCTGCAAATATGGAACAAATACTTTTTCAAACATCACATCACAGGACTATAGATTTGCTTCTGCTAAGCTTTTAGGAAAGTTCTGAACATAGGAATACTTGAACTGAGAAAAGAGAAGTATTAATTTGACCTATTCTAAATTTAATACAAATTTCCTTTTGCTAAATTACTAGGTGAAATGGAAACTGAACGTATTCATTTCTACCAAACCTTTGAAACGCAGGATGGCTTAAAATGGAAAGATCTCAAATTACAACTTAATTAGGGTATCAATTGCAGCAAAAAGTGAGCAAGGACAAATACCAGACAAAAACCCCAGCAAGTGAAAGTCAACATGGCTTTCCTGAAATCAACAGAATCCTGCCTTTTTAAAACAGTCGAGGATATAGCTCACAGCAGGGTTACAGATTTTCCCAGTAAGGTCTACCAAATGACATATTTGGTAGTTTATTGGGAGGGCTATTTTTAACTAAAAAAAAGTAGTAACTTTAGAAGTAACTTGAAGAAAAAGTAGTATTTTGTTTGTAGTAGGTTTACATCAAAAAAGGAGAATACAGAGCAAGTGAAAGTCATGTTTATGATATCTAGAGAAAATGATTCCTGAGCAGGGTCATGAGGCTGGTGAGGCAAAACTGTAAGGAAGTGCAACATCTCAAATAATAAATCACTGTTTGCAGATGGAGACAAGAGAAGATATACCAAGTACAAGGTGCAGGCAGAACCTAAGAACAGGCTGGAAGAAGAGAACCCTGAAACTGAAAGAATTCATCTGAACGAGGGAAATGAGATGCAAGGTACAAACAGTGAAGACAAGACACTCGTCTAGATCAGTAAATCAGGAAAAGGGCATTCCTCGCTGCTTTTAAGACAGATTCCAGATATACAATGTGAGAAAACAGGAAACTAAAATACATAGTACTGTATGCATAGGTGGACAAAAAGTATGGCTCATATTTTATAAGGAGATAAAGGAAATATTTTGAAAATAAAGACTTCAAAGCATTAGCAACATGGGACTCAGAGCAGCCGTTCAAGAGAAAGATAAAGAAATGAATGTTTAGAGAGAGAAGCGCTAGGAATCTGGCACAGAACTATAAAAGCCTCGAGGAAAGAAGACAAGGACACAAAAGAGACCTTGGGATTGACAAATGAAATTCTTCCATTGTTAGAGAAGCCTTCTGGGAGTAGTGAGGCAAAGATGTGAATACAGAAGTCCAAAGAGAAGACAGCCAATGGGGTAAATTAAAACATCCCTTGACCTCTTCATTTTAGAGCAGAGAGTACAATAGTATGGCAGTAATAGCTCTTTCCTCCTTTATATTGGAAGAAACCGATGACAAATGAAGGGATGGTCAGGAGGAGCAACATCCACAGCATAGGAAGGAAGATGCAAAATAATGCCTCCCTTCTGTAGCAGATATGTAATGAATATAAGCAGTGACAGAGGAAGTTGGAGAGAAGGAAAATATTCATTTGCTCTTACTTCTCTCTAACAAAAAGGAAAAAAAGAAAAAAGAAAAAAATCCACCCATCCCAGAACATCCTGAACAACGGAAAAATAGTCAAGAGGATGACTACGACTCAATCAGGAACTGCATACTGCAATTTCTGCAGTGGCCAAGAGTTTACTTATGAGTTATAGCTGTAACTCTGCACAATAGATCTAGGCAGTAGAACTGAAGCAACACTGATGTTAATTCACCCATACCCACTTCATATACAGACTTCATATTTATTCTCTTTTTAAAGGATCTTTTCAAAAGCAACAGTAAAATGAGTTCTAGCTTTTTCTTTTTTTCCTTCTCTAAATAACAGAAGATCTCGGTACTTCTTACCTCCTAAGCCAGGGTGTAAACCTTGTGGACCCTGGTTTTGTTGCTGCATCACCATGAAGTTGGGGGGTACATTCCCTTGTTGCACCATAGGATTACGGCTAGGAGAACTGACAGGCTGTTGAAATCCCTGGGGAAGTGTGCTACTCTGGGGAGGCCTTGGTCCCATCTGCTGCTGTGTTTGGTTAACTGTTGGAGATGATGCAGGAGATCCCTGCTGGAAGGAGGAGGGAGAGGAAGCAGGAGACTTGCTGGTCAGGTGGGGTTGCTGTAGTGGTGTAGGAACCCGTGAGGGCCCTCCCTGAAGTGTTTTCATTTGAGGAGCAGTAAATTGGCCAGAACTGCTCATTTGGGGAAAGTTTGAGTGAGCCTGGGAAGCTTGCTGGCTTCCAAAAGGATATGGAGGTGGAGGGTGGGTAGGAGTTTGTACTGTTGCTAAAGATGGTCTTGCTTGAAGTTGCTGCTGCATTTGTCCAGGCAATGGGGCCTTTTTCCATCCCTGGTTTACTGTCAATGTACCCAATGCTCCCTGGGTTGGAGGAGGCTGAAGTGCTCCAGAAGGAAGCTGATTCCAGCCAGGGGGAACTGGAACCTGTGCTGGTGAAGTAAATGAAGGTCGAATACCCTGCTGTGGCTGCTGATGTGGCTGGGGAGGACGTGTCTGCAACTGTGGCTGTTGCTGTAGTTGCTGAAAGTTGGCCGAGTTCATTTGCCTGTTTACAGGAACTGATTGCATTGAATGGAGCTGCGGAGCTAAAGATCCAGATGGATGATTTTGCTGCTGGATATTTAGCCCAGATAAGAGTGGGTCCATTGCATCTATTAAAATAGCAAAAAGAGTAAAAAAAAATAAGTAACCTACTGCAGACAAAAACCACCAAAAACCAAGAAAGGGTAAATTGCTTGCTTGCATTTGCTCTCTCTGCTGACACCGAGGTCAAACAAAAATACACACTCCAGTGTTCCGATTTCTCCAAGATATAGAACAGGTAATGCTCTAAAAAAGTTTTCAGAATTTCTGGGAACCCTAGGAAGCTAGGTTACATGAGTTTATAACCTCCACAATAGAACACGATAGCTCCAAAGCACTTGTTCCTACAGACAAATGCACGTCCTCTATGCACTCATTAGGGCCAATATTCCTACCCGCTAAAAGAGTGGTATAATGAGGAATTAAGACAGTATCATAAACTAGCATTCCAAAAAGAAAATGCTGCAAGTGTTCTTTTCATCTACAAATTCTGCAGAGAGTTCAAAAAGTTGGTAAGTGTTACCATTGTCTTATGAAGGGACAAGTCATAACCCATCACTTCTTCAGCAGTCCCAGATACAAATAGCTTGTACTGGTAGAATCGGGAACCTCTGAACATAACCTCCCTCACCCCCCCAACCTCAAACTTCTAGTTTATTTACTCCTCTGGAAAAGCTCAATCTGGTGCATTTCTTTCTGACTGAACACACCTGCCTCATTCAACCAATCCTTTTCTTAACTTCATCTAAACGTAAAGCTCAGTCATTGTGTAAGTTCACTGCAGTAGAATAAGCTCCTCAAAGGCACTGTATTATACTATGAAGTACCAATGACAATACCGGCAAATCACAACACTTCTACTGCAAAAAGGTACTGCCACTGCTCAATGCCTCTGAAAAAAACCCCAAACAAATAACCTGGTGACTTCTTTAGACACCTAAGCTATTCAGATAGCAGCAACATCCTAGCGTGGAATCACAGAAAGCAGGTCCAGAAATCCTAGCGTGGAATCACAGAAAGTAGGTCCAGAAGGGACCTAAAAAAGGTGACTGCCTAAAAACAGGATCAAACACACCTACACCTTTCCTGGCAGACATCTGCATGTGCTTGTCTTCCTTCAGCCAAGTCCCTCTTCTGAAAGATATGTAGTACAATAGACCAAAGCAGACACACCTGTACAATCAAAAATTCATCCTTTTGATAATCTCAGAAATGAGACTGTGAATGAACAGCAAATAAAGGCGTTATTCCAGCACCTGAGGTGCAGATAAGCTCTTGGTCATTAAAACAAAAAAACAAAACAAAAAAAGGCAAGCTTTTCTTAACAATTACAAAGCTTTTCAAAAGAAGAAATTACCAGATTATGATTTTTTTGTTCGTTTTTGTTTTTTTCCCCCCCACATAAGGGGCAACTACCAGAAAAGGCATTCACTTATGAGTCCACTCTCAAGCCTGTCAGCTGGGGGGGAAAAAAAAAAAAAAAAAAGGAAGGAAAAAAAAAAAGAAGAAAAATTCAAGAACATCTTCAGATAAAGGTCAGCGCTACAACTAAATTTTACTACCTGGCTGTGAGGAAGGTCGAGGTGTTCTTGGCTGCAGCTCAGTACTAGCACCACTTGCCACCATAGAGGACTGTACATTTCCACTCTGGGACATCATGACGGCTGCAGCATTGCTCATTCTTATTAAACCTTAAAAAAAAAAGAAAAAAAAGAAAAAATAAGTTATTGTTAATTCTTGCCAATGTTACATAGACAGGAGATAAAAATTTTATTTGTTAAAAAAATCATCTCTTTAGACTTTAAGAACTGTTCCTCCAAAACATGGATCTCTGCCTAGAGCTTAGATTCTCTGGTACAGAATAAACAAGTTACGGTTAAACTGAAGCTTTTCCTAAAGGCACTAGTAGGATCCCTCTCCTCTCCTCAGTTATCTATTCTCACAAAATTCACAAAGTAGTTTTTCTTTTAGGACCTCCTTTCATGAGGCAGTAGTTAAAGTGGTTAACAAGTACTAGAGTTATTTGTGAAGCTGGGAAAGGAAGACAAAAAAAACCCAGCACAGTCATGCAAATCCAGGTTTAAAAAAAGTCCTAAGTTACAATGGGCACTCATAACACCACTGATGACATGATTTAATGGTAATATGAGAAAGCTTTATACTGGAGACTGATACCAGAGTGATGAACATTTATGTACAAAGTAGATTAAATAAGAGTGCTCAAAGGTGAAAACTCGACAAATTTTAAAAACTAATTCACAGATAACTATCTTACTGAAACTTTCATTCAGCGATCACATAGTTTCTTATCTGTGACTTTTGTACTTTTACCAAGTAGTTCTGTCATAAAGCTAGAACAGAAATAAAATTGTGACTTCAACTCCTTAATTCAATACTGAAGAAAAAAAGATAACCCTTTCATACTTTTAGAGTAGGTGAATAATTAATATATTCTCCTCTTATTTTTTGTATTCATATATGTTTTGCTAAATTGCTGATGAGAGGTAGAAGGTAAAAGGACATGATAATCAAGTTGCAAGCCAGCGGCAAAACATAGCCAATATGTGGGATCTGAGTTCTGCAAAATTCCATCTTAATTTTTGCAGCCGATATACCTTTCCTGTATGGCAAAATTTCTTAAATTTAACACGTTAGCTTGACATGTTTCCCTTCGCAAGGCATCAAATTCAATCTTTCTGCAGGATGAAGCTGAAGTAAAGTAGCTCCAAAGAACCATCAGTGACAAGCAGAGACTGGAGGCTGTCCTGTTTTCCAAAACCCACCACATCCACGGAGGAATTAGGAGTGGGAAATCAAATCCATTGTTCTTAAAAAAGAGACAGAATCCCTACAGTAGGAGAACCTTTAAAAAGGCTATAGAAGGAAACACTACCTACACATTAATTCTTTGAGGCTTTAGTCCCATGTCTGACTTGTCTCTAAAGTCTTCAAGTGACAAGTTTGTATCGAAGTTACACATGTACTAAGGCTTTGCAAAATCTGACACTAGGGAGTAATTGAGGTGTTGTGTAAGAGAAAAAATTCATCACTTCGTTTATACAGGCTGCTATTTTGTAGAATGTTAACCTGTTGGAAAGTGGGCAGGAAATGATCACCACACAGAAGAGCAGAGCAGCCATTTTCAAAGAAAAAGTTTCTTTAAATGTTTTACATTCTTGGTTGATTTAACTACTGTTTAATCATATTTCTCTTCTAAAGAGGTAAAACATCCTTTTCATTTATTCCTATAAACAGCCACACACGTATCTTAAATTATTCTGTCAAAAAAGGCTCCTAGTTTTCCAATTGCATCAAATCCTATATACTGAGATACTAAATAGTTTGCTTTGCCTTACGATTCAGCTATGAAAATGAATTACAAAGTAGTTTTCTTTTAGCTCTTTATAAGTCTAAGGACTTCTGTAATTAAAAAATTACTTATCATGAACATAAGCACACTGTTCTCAATGTTCAAAAAGTGTATGATGATTGAATAAGATCAGACCTCAAAAGCTTACTAAAAAATAAAAATAGAGACTAATAGTAATGACAGTGTCCTGTCCTTCCCCTAATTATAAGGGATTTCAAGTAAAGTAGATTATTATTGTACAGTGAATGCTTATGTTCTTTTTCATAAAGATGGCCAAACACAAAACTGCTGTGATAATCTGTGAATGTTTCAAAATGAACTCACTTTAGTAGGCTCACATGATTTTTACAGCCTTTGTGTAAGAAAAAACATATATACACACACACACGTATATAAACAAACATCTCTCTCTCTCTCTCTCTCTATATATATATGTATATTCATATGTATGTATCAGATGTTTGCAGAAAGATATGCAGCCAACCATTTACCTTATGTGATATGGAACATTGTTTGACAGTACAGAAACAAGAGCAGACACAAATTAAAATGACAATTATGCCACTGCTAACAATAGTTATTATAAGCAGTAAGATTCTACGATCAGCTTAGTTACAGATTCCAAAGTGTATAAAGCTGAACAATTAAAAAATGGAACTTACCTTGGCCCCCTTGCATGGGAAATCCTGTTTCCATCCGTACAGAACTGTTTGCTCCCAGGGGCCCATTGATTCGGACATCTTGGCTTCTATTTTGAGCTAAAGCTAAATTGATAGCACCTTCCCCTAAAGGTAATAAACAATTGGGGAACTGAATAATATTCAGGATAGGAGAATAGAGACATTTTCAAAGTGACATTTAAAAAGATGTCAAAATAGAAAGGCCAAATTTTACCAAAAAAAATATAGACTTTAGAAGAGAAACACAGTTATGCATCACATTACTCTTCCTTCTGGATTACAGTTTTAAGAAGAACAATCATCACGACAAGCATTAAATGACCTCAGTTTCATTCTGAACTTGAAAAAGTATCCAGGGTGGGATTTTAATTGTGAAATCCACTGAAAATGTGCTTTTAAGAAAATTTCATATCAAAAAATTGGGAAAAAAGCTTAGGGTTCATTTTCCTAATGACACTCAAAAAAGATGCAGGAGGTTTCTTCACGATCAGAGCATTTCCAGCTATCATTTCTATCACTACACATATTCTTGAGAGAATAAAACCATTGCTTTGACCTACCTTTTCACTAAAGTCATTTTCCAAAGGACTAAGTTAGGTAGGAATTTTGCGACATTAACCAAATACACAAAATCTTGTATTGTCTATATTTAAATTTTAGTATATCCAGAGCTTAGTATCTTTAGAAACAAGTAAGATGTGAAATACCTTCAATCTGAACTGAGAGAATTCCCAGATCACGAAGCTGTTGGTTATTATTCTGAGCCAAAATTCGCAGCCGCTCTGCAGCTTCACGGGGTATATTAAACGTAACACGTACGCTGTTCCAAGGTTCTATCTTCTGCAGTTTTAACTTGCTGGATTCTTAAAAGGAAAACAGTCAGAATCAGGGTCACTGCAAAGTCAGTTTTCAAAAAAGTACGATGAGACAACTTGGTTTAAAAAAAAAAAAAAAAAAAAAGCACAAATGAAAAGACCAAGACAATTATTTGTCTTTGAAAACATCAATGGTTAATCTCAGAGACAGGAGAGTTCTCCAGCACCGATGTACAGCCAATCACTTCAGTTATTTCTCAGAAATTAGCAACATAAGAACTTCCCAACAGATATCCAATATTCCACAGCCAACACAATCACTTGATAAGATTACTCAGAAATTGAAATATTCTGTGGATAAACTACTTTGAAAAGACATGTGAAAACCTAATAAAGCAGATTTTGTAAATTTGTTAGTATACCAGATAGATATGTGGGAAAAAAATGAATACAAGAATGAAATCCTCCTTCTTGAAATATCTCTGCAAGAAGAAACTTGTGAAACCATCTTTTTGTAGAAGGCCAGTAAAATAGAGTCATGATGGTACTTCATTAACTCCTACCATATTATTTAGATTTTTTTTTTTTTGATAGGTATATTCAACCCACTGTAAAATATTTTGCATGACTTTTTAATATGCTTTTAGTTGAAGGCATTGTGAAAACTTATGCTACATATGAGCGTCTCTTAGTAGACCAGTTGTTTTCGAGGTAAAAGGTAGGAGTAAGCAAAAAGGTAAGCCAGTTGTGCTGGACATATTTTGGTTAGGTATCAATTCAGATAAATATTGCTATGAAACGCATTTAAGAATGATTTCAAAAACCATTCCTAATACAGGTTTAAAAACTTCCAGTTTTCAGCTTTTTGAAAAGAAAGTCTTTTTGAAAACAGTAAATTTTGGCCCAAATTTTAACCATCCAATTCTTCCACAGTAACACCAGACACTTTGTTTACTATTTGCTTCTGAATAGTGTATCATTTAAGAATGGCAATAACTCATCCCGGTCTAGGAAAATCTTGTCCTTATCCAACGCAAGGAGTCCCTCTTGCTGTCTATAAATACTTTTTTGGTTGGAAGGGCGACAGGGCTAGTTTAAAGTCTTCTCACATCCAGACACAAAGAACTGAGTCTTCATATCTTTCAGCAGTCCTATATTTAATCTTATTAATGGCTCAATTTTTTAGATCTAAGAACTGTACTGTCAGTTTCAGTATTTCTAGATCCGAGCTTCTCTTCTTGTTTTTCAAACATTGTCTTGGGTAAGTCTAAAAACAATGTACGTTATAAACCCTACGTTCTGCACATCCCATTTTGCTCTGAATCAGTCTAAGTAAATTGTCACGTTGATCATTTTCAGACTAACTTGGCATTGATTTAGAATTCTGTTTTCTGTTTCTCAACTGAGGTTCGAAATGATGTTCATTAACCCTACCATTAATATTTGTAACAAACAGTATGAAGATGCCTCCATTTAACAAAGGCAACTCCACAGAGATACAGATTGAATTTGCTTCCATACAAGTACCATGCAAGTCAACTATGGTGTCAACGCATATCTTTTTACATCAGTAAGTATCTGTTAGTTTTATGTCTTTGGGCAAGTATTTATAACATACAACTCAAACCAGCTAGATTTTTTTGGAGTATTTTTGTCTTATTCCAGCTTTATCTCCCCTGAGAGATAATGGCAAGGACCCCAATAAACAAAGCCAGATACAACTAAATTTGCACAAGGTGGAAAGAAAAGAACAAAGTGATATAGAAATTTGACTTGCTTAGGGAGGAGTCATAGATAATTTTTCTGAAATTAAAAGGTTCTTTTCATTATTGAACAACAAACAATGCAACAAACATTTTAAAATCTAAATCTAAAAAATTAGTTTCCCTTCAACACAAAAATTGCCTTTCTGAAAAGTGGATCCTTCACTGTACTGTGTGATTTCATAGTAAGAACAAGAAACAGAAGAGCAATTTGTTGGAATGGCAGCCTACAGTTATCAGTAAAGGCCTGGTTCGCAAACAGCAGAGAGTATCAGCAATTACATGGCTTTTTAGACTCCAATTACACAACATATTAAGCCAAGCCAGATCGGTGCTGCTGTGGTTCCACTATCCATTCCACTTCTGGTTATATGTTCTTATTACCTCACTTGAGGCAACACTCCTGGCTTTACTTGTTTCTGTAACAAACTATACTAAGGACAAGAAATTAAGCAGTTACCTTCCAGTTCATTAATATAAATCTGTCTTACAAGTGAACAGAGTGAGTGGCATTGCCATGGATACTGGCAGTGGGGAGGGAGCATATCATTGACCTAAGCACACTGACCCAAACCATCACAAGATTGTACCTTTACCAAACCAGGGTTGTCTATTAAAAAAAGGTTGTACTCGTGCAAGCAAGACTATGAATCCAAACTGCAACAATTAATCATTATAAGCCCTTTTTACAAGGATGCTGAGAGAGTTGACGGATACCCTTTTCCACATCTAGATGCACTTGTAAAAGACGTTACTTTCCCCAAAACTTGTCATCGCTGACTAGCTACAGATACCTGTCCCTAGACTTCGGCAGGCATGCGAGACAGTGGGAGAACAGTTCATAACCCCTCTTCAGACAAAAATCAGAGAGGTTAGGTGAATGCAGCAGCAAAGGGGCAGTAACATGCTGAACTAGCACAGTTATTTGAAAGTGAACGCATTCACAGATGAACTGCAGTGGTTTCAGCAGTTTTTTTTTTGGACAAGCCTAGTTTTACTTTTGTACAACAGAGCAGTATATAATAGAGGGAAATGAAAAGAGAAAAAACAAGTAAAACATGGGAACCAAACAGGAATAAATTAATTCAGTAATGAAATCATAGTCTCAAATGATAATATAACTACTGAAATTTGTACTCTGTGCCTCCCTAGAACAGCTCCCAAATTCAGTAAGAATAACCCAAACAAATCCGTTATAACCTAAGTAACTTCAGAATAATGTAAACTGTTTCTCTGTACAAACATCCTGATTACATAATTAGATATTTTGAGGACAGTTGAAAAGTGACAAGAAAGTACATTACCCATGTGTAAAAGGCCAGGTACATTCTCCAATATGATACTTAGTTTCTGTTCAAAGTCTCTATCATCTATATTTCCTTTAAAAGCTACAAAGATTGTGGAATCTTCAGGAGCAGTCTCCTGTTTCAGTTCATCTTCTTCCAGTCCTGAATCAAAATCCACCTCCAAGTCTTCCATAGTTGAGGAGTACAAGTAGGCACATGTATCTTTTAAGTTAGGTAGATCCTCCAAAACCATTGTTTCCAACAATGCAAGCCAGTCAGATGTTAAGAACATGCTTTGAAGGCAAAAAAAAAAAAAAAAAAAACAGTAAGTACAGTGTACAAGTACATTAACAACTACATTTAAAGGCAAGCCAAAATTATCGTCAAAAAACCTACCAGACGACCCAATACCAGCATCTTTGAGACAAACAGTACGATGTTGAAAACTGTAGCCATTGCAATATCCAAGCTGTTGGTCCACTAGAACAAAAAGTTGTTTCCTGACAGAATACTCCTACACTCAATTTGAAGAAGTTTCCAGTTGACCTAAAAGATAGCTGGTTATAAGGGGGAGAGGGGAAGAGAAAAATCAGTTACACTCACCTCCATATCATACGCAGGACAAGCAAGCACCCAGTATCGATTCTACAATGCCCAATTGCCAAGAAATTGTAAACTTCACAGCAATACTTTAACTATAGAAAAGATAGGAGAATAGAAAGATAGGAGGAACCCCCCCCAAATTTAATTTTAGGGGCTACAGATGTAATGGGCACTTCTTTATCCAGAAAAGCTGTAGGAAAGCCACAGCACATTCTTACTAGGACAAATTTAGCATTTGACAAGTACTTTACTCACATTCAAGGAACTCTTAAGTATTCTTCTTTGTTTTCTATGACTTCTTTGCATACTGCTTTTGTAAAAATTTAAGTGTTTTCAGCTGCTTAAACATATTACAACCTGAAATTCGTTCCCTCTATGCTCACAAGCACCCACTCTATACACGCCTACAGAGTTTAGATATGAATGAATTCAGTAAATCGAGTCACGCACTTGAATTTTACTTTATGAAGTTTCTAGATCTTGCAATAATTTTAGTTAACATCATTATAATTATCTAGGCTGTTATCTGTACAGAAGGACTCCCATACCTACAGTGAACAATATCGATGTTTGGTCAAGGTACACATTTTTCACTTCAACACAAGCTGGAACAACACTACCGGACAAATTTCTCTATGTTAGACAGAGAGCCTTCCATCTAGAGTCTCACATACAATGCTTTCTAAATATTAGTGAAAGAATTAAAACCATCTACACCAAGAGTTAAAGCTGATATCAAAATGAAAAAAGGGACCCATTCCTGACCAACACTGTCAAAACCAAATGAGTTTAATGGCCAAGTTTATCAGGTTCTCATAATTCTAAAGCTACCAGGGTATTCAGAATGATCCACCAAAAATCTTAGTTCAGAATGAATTGCAGACAGTAGCAAGAAAAAAGTCTTTTTTTATTTTTAATGATAACTACATTAGAAAAGCTTAGATTCAGCTCTATGCCATTTTCATACTCGCTTAACATTGCTGAAGGGACAATATTACAAACGAATAAACGAGCACTTGGAAGTCAAAGAATTTCCCCAGTTTTAGGTCATCTCTCTACGCACACACTTACTACAGAGTAATTTTACAAAATTAGATTTTTTTTTTCTTCCTTGCAACCCTACGTCATAGGAAATATAGTTGCTTACTCATTGATGCCATCTAATCTATTTTACATATAGGTGCCCTCCACATACTGTGCGACACCCAGTCTTCTTTCTTGAACACTATTCAAATCTCAGATTTTAAACAAAGTTAACTTTGTACCACAAGCTTTTCTACAGGCATGCAAGAGAAAGCAAGTAAAAACGTTTCAAAGAGTCACCGATTTATTTTCCCAGTGCTTTCATAAGTTACCTATTATTATCCTAGACATTTTAAAGAGGAGTAACTGAGACAATAAACAGATATAGAGACAATACCAGGCGAATACCAAGACAATTAAAACTTGTTTTTCCTTCCAGACTACTTGGTAGTACCAAGGGCTTAGCATCCCCATTAAGTCAAAGAACACAGTTTCAAGCCAGGTGCCCAGAAAGTGAGAAAGACAAATTATTAATTATCTGTGAAAAGTCGATTGAATTGATTTTCACACAGAAGTTGCTGGGCAGCGGGTGGCCTGGTTATCCTAATCATGAGATAATTCTTTCTCTTTTTGCATACCCTATCTCATTCATTACACATACAGTAACATCAGGAAGAAATGAACTTGGGAGTCCTACACAAATAATTTCTTTAGAGCACAGAGCACAGCCATCCTATGCACTGAATAACGTCAGTGTCCTGTGAAATACTATAAACTATTTTGAAAAAGGTTAAATAAAAAAGTACTTCTCTAAAAATCTTGAGTAAATTTTCCAGGGAAAGAAGTCTTTGTTCAATATACTGACTCTTAAGGGTTGAAAAAGCACAATTATCTGAAGGGGAGCAGGGTGTTCTGTTTCCAGCAGGAAACATGGAGTATTTCTGACAATTTCTAACAGACGCAAAAAAAAGTCTCTCTCTCTCTCTCTCTCTCTCTCTCTCGCAAAAACACAAACCTTTCAAACCTTCTTTGAACTAGCAAACATAAAAATAAAACTTAAGTTCTCCTCTTTGCGTGTCATGGTCAATAAAATAAGAAAACAGGAATGTCTCCAGGGTAATTGAAAAGAAACAGGCACACAGGAAGCTTGATGGACTTGGATTCACTTTTTACACCATTCATTCATGATAACTGTTAAAATCAAGTTTTCCTTCAATTGAACAGATGAGTCCAAAAGAGTCATTTTCTCCATGATAGAGCAGAGGATCCACAGGCTACTTAAACTGCAGATTTAAAATCTTCATGAAAATGCTGCAACTTAGACTGGAATCCACCATTCTCATCGCAACGTGCTCAAATCTGACAAGATTTGTTAAAAATTATAGTAGCATCATAGACAAACCACCTCATGCATGTTATTAAAATAGAGGTTGCTAAGTCCCAGTTATCACAGGGCTTGTTTCATTTGATCCAGAAAATCATATAGCTGCAAGGAAAGCTTCAGTTAAGGAAAAAAAAAAAAAAAAACACATACTGGATGGCGTTTTAAATTTTACTTTCTGGATAAGGGCAATAAGTTTAGGCTTGTAGTTGAAGCGCCCTTCTCCCCGAGCCATTACACGCCTCAAGGATGTTTTTTATACCCTTCTTTCTTCTCTCCCTCTTAAATACAGGGAGTTCAGCCCATTCCTATATTCAGGTACAATTTATCTTGACTATGACAACAGGAAGTAATCATTTGCAAAGTCATCTCCTATAGACAGGACACTGCATGTCTTCCATTTCAGAACCAAATGAATCCCAGCTGCCTTCTCTGTACTAACAAATTTTATAATCTCCTGCTTACAAGGTTGACTTCCATAAATCAAACGTCAGCACGTGACCATAATTAACATGTACTTCATGCAACACTCTTCTATATAAACACAGAAACCTTTATGCATAAAGACATACATGTAAAACTGTGGTCATTCAATAATTTCTATGAACTAGATTATTTTTTTCAGTGGGCTAAGACAGTATTGTCAATGAGTAAAAATCATACCTGAATTAATCTACATAATTCTGTCTTTTCTGTTCAAAGAATAAATATGGCCTCCTTCCTGCCATTCCATGCTTTGTTTCAGAGTTTCCAATTTAGTATTTCCCATTACAAAATTGTTTCTGGAGACGGACAGTAAGCCCAGTGCTATTATATGGCAATCATTTACACAGAAACACAGTCTGGGACAGGCTACAGTAACATGAAAAATGCCTTATGCTTATTTATTATAAAGCTGGCTTCATTTAGTGAAGTCTAATTATTAAAACCGCACAATTGAAGTAAGAGAGCTTGAGATAAGTAGCTAGATAACAGACTAATAACCAAAACGTTGGTAATTATCAAAGGACTAAAAACGGTCTACACACCCACAGTATACTATAGGGGTAGAGGGTGGCAGGGGGAAAGAACACAAGGACTGAAGCATCCAAGCCTTAAAATAGAGAGTCCACACTGGGCTACTAGTAACTGCTGCTTGTGTGTATGCTTAGCATACGGATAAAATGGTTAACCAATTAAAACGTGCAAGACTGAGACCATCCAAAGGTAGAACACACGATACGATACAGACAAGCCACAGTCTAGATTTGGGCTGATGGACAGCTGGGTCCTGCTGCACACCACTGGGGCCCCAGAACGCAGTGTTATGTTTGTTCCCCTTGCAAAAAGCCCTGAAAAGGGAAGCCTTCATGATAAGTCCAGTGTCACATGACTGGACAAAACTGAGTAAATCCAGTTGGTTCTCTGGAAGAGATGGGATTAGAATATAATCTGAAACAGCCAGTGGTAGTTAAACGGTGAGCAGCTGAACATTGCAAAGCCAGAAGGCTTTGGACTGCCAGCACTGCAGATGGGATTAGTGATTTCTGGAAAAATCAATCAACCAACCAACCCACCCACCCACTCAGTATCTTGGTATTCTCATCCCAAGATCAGCTCATCTGATCCAAACTCAAGGTCATGCCATTTGGGTCACAGCAACTTGTTTGTTAAGAAGAACTTGGATCCTGTCTTGCATTGCTTTCTTCCCATTATTGCACTACA